ACTAAATATCACTCCTTGGCACCCGTGCAGTAATCACTAGCTATGAAAAGAGGTTTCTAAAGATACCTTCACCTACAAAACGTACTGTTTGGATAAATATGAGAAGCTAAATGAACTATACAAATCAAATAAAGGCTAAAACAAATCTAACGTAATCTTGAGAAGAAATACGAGAAAACAGACTCATTGGTTGACTTGTTGAGCTCAGCTTTCGTGCGGGACAAATCTTCCACATTGAGTGCCAACTCTCGAGTCAACTGTAGAATATTGAATAACTAATAAAAAAAATTCAAAAATAGAGCATTGTGCATACTTCGTTTTGCTTATGAGTGGCTGCTACCAAGTCTCCATTTAGTTTAACAGTTTGAGCCTCGTAGTCAGAAATTCTTTGTTTGGCTTGCTCCTCTCTGAAAGAATCAAAGTAATATGAATTCGGATGAAGGGGTCTTAAGCAAGCAATGAAAGGCCATAAATAACTGAAGAACATTAGAGCATTTAGACGCAAAACCCACAAAGTTTGATTCGAAGCAGCTATTTTCTTCTCCATTTCTTGCAACTGCAAGGTTAGTGTTGACACCTGACTCTCCGCTGTCTGTTTCTCAACATCGGCTTTATCTTTCTAAGTTAAGCAACATAGAATCAGTATATAGAATGGAAGTAAAAGCTAGGCCAGATGAACCTCTTTCCGAACATCGTCCAACTCTGTAAGTTTGGCAGTAAGCTCCAATTTTAGCTTGTCTAAAGCATTCTCCATCTCCGCAGATTTGACTGTCAGCCTATATACAATAAATTGACACATAATCAAGATACTGACACAAATGTCCTAAAACTTACGAATCGATGTTATTCTGGAGACTTGAGACCTCATCGGACTTCAAGCGAAGATCTTTCTCAACCTTTGTTCGCATGGTTGTTTCTTGCACAAGAGATTGTTGCAGCTAAATTAAGCTACCAAATCAAAACTTTAACATACAACACATGAATTGATTATGCTTGTGGGTTTTTTCTTGTTGAAAAAATCACTATAGGGAGAGAAAAACAAGCTCTACAAGAAGAAAACTCCTTGGAAAAGAAGATACAAAAATCATTGAAGAATTACCTCCTTGATAGTTGCGTTTCTTTCCTCTTCGATTTTCTTTGCGTGGTTTTCAGCAGCAACAAGCTTGTACGAGAGGTCTGCGGAAGCTGAATCCGCAATTTGGTACTTCTCTTCGAGGCTAAACATAGAAACACCTTCATTCTACAAAACAAAATTTATTCAATAATAAGGGAATTGAATTGTATAAATCTGGCGATACAGATTCAATATACTGAAAGCGAGAAAACAAATTACTACGCTTTTAGAAAATTACAGTGAAAATTTCGTATGCGAAAATCGGTAACTATAGGAAAAGCAGTAAACTAACCTTTGAACTAGATTTTGTAGCCGATTAACCTCCGCAAGTCGCTCGGCACTAATTTCTTGCGCAGAAGACAATTCTTTCGCCATAGCATCTTCACCAAGCTTCGATGCATTGATCTAGATACTCTATTGAGCCATGAACATCGTAAAACGAAGAGAAGTCATACTGTGCTTTGAAGATTACTAAACGCTTCCTTTTGCTGTCTCAGTTGCTCTTCAACTTCAGCTTTGCTTTGAGCTACTTTGTCACGCTCCATTGTCAGATTCTGCAACTTCTCGGTGAGGCTAGAAAGTATTATATGAATGTATAACATCACGTTATAAAATACATTCCAAATTAGAAAGTTGCCAAATAGCTAATTCTCACAATTATTAAAAAATTAGCATAAGTAAGCACTGTCTTTTGATTGTAAACAAATTTCAAAGCACTAGTGATCTATACGATAAAGATAAGCTATGAATCACTATTACGCCCACATCATCTAATGGAATGATATTGAACCTAATACAGCACTCTATAACTTCAGTCCTGACCGTTTGATGCCCGGCACTTAAAACTATGCTATTTTTGATCCCACACTAAAGCTACTGCTTCGAGCGTTGTTAAAATAATAAACAAGAAGAGAAGCCGAAGATATGTTTTTGTAAAAAAATAGATAACAAAAACATATTAAGAGTACTAATGAACCTGTTCAACTCCTCCGTCTTTTGCTTAATCTCGCTTTCTGACTTCTCCTTTGCTTGTTCAAGATCCCTTTTCTCCGACGCAGCCACCTCGATTAATAATCGACTTTGTTCAAGCTGCAAGAGTAAGCTTTTTTATTAGGAGTTGCTCTTGTCTCGCTACAACAAAACCTTCTCAATGTATGCTTCTTCAGCTGTTCGCCACTTCGTTGTTTCCGCGACCATCTTTTCTCTAAGCTCCTTATCCATGTTGCTAGATCTAAACAATGCTAATAAAGTGAGTTGAACACATGTACAAAAGGACAAACACGTACTTTTCTCTTTCTTCCATAAGAGCCTTGTCAAGATCAGCTACTTTGACTTCAAATCCGGCACACTTCTGCTCCAGCGCCTGATATTTTGACTCGGCTTCTTGAAGAGATGAGTTCAGCTATAAGAAGTTTTGAAAAAAAAAAACCAATAACAGCAGAAAAAGCAATGATTAATAAGACAGAAATTGCTTTGGTTACAGGTCAAAGTGAAAAGTAACCTTCTCCACGATTCCTACGTGTTCAGCAGCGACAGCATCAAGTTTGGCCTTGTATTCAGAATCATTCTTTTCCAACTGTTTCTTCAATGATGTAAGTTCCTCTTCTTTCGTCAGAACTGCAGCCCTCTCCTCGCTGACCTACAGATAGATAATTTAACGGCCTCAATGTCATTCATTTAGTAGTTCTACTAAAATGAGAAAGATCTTTCACAGATCAAATATGACATTTTTTGCTATTCGGAAGTGAAAAATTTATAACAGCTTAAACAGGCATAATACATTTTTATCAAGAATGTTTATCCTTTTAACTCATTGATGACTGCCCACAAGTGGGACACGCATCTTGAGATGCGTAGGATCACCATCGAAAAAGATATTTCAAAGAGCTAGATCTCACCTGAGACTCAGCCTCCTTAATTCGTACTTCCAACTGTGCGCATCGTCCCGCTATCTCTTTGGCTGCACTGTCACTATTGTCTCTGAGCATGACCATCTGAGCGTCCAGTGCTTCTTTCTCCTTTTGCAATTCCTCCTTCTGAGCCTTTTCTATATTCAAGGAAGCTTCGACAGACTCCTTCGCTGCATTGATGGCATTAATCTTCTCTGTAAATTCAGCCAAGCTCTTCTGTATTCCGTTCTGTTCTTCAATCAAACGTTGTTCAACAGCTGCTTTCTCCTCATTTAATCTATTTAGAGTTTCTTGTGCAGCACCTTTCTCTTTCTCAAGGTTTGCAAGCACATCCTTCAACTGCTGCAGCTCATCCGCGTTGATCTGTAAGGCTTCTTCAAGAGTTTTCTTATCTTGTTCTACGGCTAGGATTGACTTGTCCTTCTCCTGCAATTCTTTAGCCATTGCATCTACTCTCTCAGTGAGCGCTGCTTCAGCCGATCCTTGGTTAGCTGTGAGAGACTCCATAACCTTTTTCTGGTTTTCAATCTCTTTTTGCGCAGACTGGAGTTCCACTGAACAAAATAGAAATAAACCTCCAAAATTTACGTTGCGATCAGGAGTAATGTATAACAATGTAAAAAAGGTAAACGTTTCAAAGCGAATTATTTTTTGAAAATGAAACCGAGCGAGTTTGCAGAAAGGGAGGAAGTTGGGCAATTATTCCAGCGAATCAGAAATGAAGAAGTAACAGCACTTGTATAGACTAAAACTGGCTTTGGAGATAAACCAGGTATAGTCTACACGAGTGCTGTTGCACTTCACCATCATCAAAACTTTTACAAATAAAGGTAAAGATCATATTGAACGCTTGGCAGTGGTTGTAATCTTACCTCTAACATTTTCTAAATCCTTTTCGGCAGACCTAGCCAAAGTCTCAGCCATTTCGAGCTTCTTCGTCTTATCATCAAGTAAATCATTGACTGCTGTGAGCTGTTCTTCAAAAGTAAAACGATCATTTGACGCCTGTTCTTTAGCCTAAAATGGCAGAGGATAGCAGAGAGGACAAATCTGGTTTATTTCGCAACAAAAGGGAAAATTAGAGAGAGTTGTTTCAATGGTACACAGTTCATACAAACTGAAAGCGAAATTCAAAATAAGGTCAAGACGCTCAC